CTTCTTTCTGTGTGTCAGTTCCTAATCAATAACAGGAGCTGCTGGGAGTGCTCAGATACTGTGGCGAGGGCATGCCCAAAACCCGCAGACAAGCTGTTGTGATAAATACTGAGGTGAAGGTCTTGAAACAGTAAAGAACCCAACCAGTCACCATGATACTGAATCTTGTTCTTTTTATTTCAAGATTACAAAGCTCAAGATTGACAACAATCCATTTGCTAAAGGTTTCCGTGAGCATGGGAAGAACACTCGAAGGTAAACTGTTTTTTCATCTTTATTTATAACTGGAGTTCACTTGGGAATTTTACCCAAGGCCATTGCGCAAAACTATGCCAGCTAGCTCTACAGAGCCACTGTGTTGTGCAAACTGCATTTGCCTGTATCTGGGAATGATGTACCCCTGTGCAGCCTCCTCCCAAGAGACTTGGGGAGTGGGAGGAGATACAGGATTTCCTACAGAAATGTGAGAGATGTGACAAATTTGAGACCTGCATTCCCTTGCAAGTTGTAGCTAGACTGGAGTCTGACATGTGAACAGCAGTGATAACAGGAGTCCACAGTAGATCACTGTGTCTCTTTGAGATCAGCTAGATTCTGACTTTGGAGGCTCCCTCATCTCCTTTCCCTGTGTGCGGCAAAGCATCTCTTCCAACAGGAGATTTTATCTGCAAGAGGGAAGATGGATACCAATACCATGTGTGTGAGATCTTCTGTCTGGTCTGAGGGCAGTCAGTGGATGGTGGGGGAAAAAAAAAACCTTAAATGCAACCACAGATTGTCAATAGACAAGGAAAAAATGGTTTTTTTCCAAGTAGAAAATGTTATGAAAATATCTGAGATTTTGTTTTGTGTTATTTTATGCCTGAAAAAAAAATCTCATTTCCTGATGAAAAAGGCCAAAACTGACTCTTTTTTACTTAAACTTTGAAAATGTAATAGATTTTCTTTCCCCTCCTAATAGGATCATTTCTGACTAAGCATAGACTCATTTTCCATTTAGGAAGAAAGCTGCTTTTAAGTGAAAGACCCACCCTACTATACACATACCTGTGTGTATAGTATGTATATCCAACATCAGACTACACTTACAAACTCAGTGCCAAAACCTCCAGTGCTGAGTTTCCGTGTTGATTGTGCCTTTTGTACAAACGTGAAGCAGGCAGTCCCTTTACTGATTTATCCCTGGTATTGTGTGGGGCGAGGTCTCTCACTGGAAGCGCACGCAGATGGCAGGCAGCATGGCTAGCCCTGTAATTTGACTATGGCAAGAGTATTCCCCAAGGGCCCGTCGGGGTGCCTTGCTAGGAAAGGTGTAAGTCACAGAACGTCAGAGAGGTTCATCCCATCTTTTTGTCTTCCAGGGCTTGTCCAGCATCCCTTGTGTATTTATCTAGGCAAAAAACTCACATACAAGCTATCACCGTGTCTTGTTTTTTTCCCAGGGAAGGACGAGCCAAATGCCAGAAGCCTAGTCCAGCCAAGGGCCAGAAGAGGAAGCTGCCTGAGGAAAAAGAGTCTGGTGCTGAGGAACGTGGTAATAATTGATCACAACAAACCCAGAGAATGATTTCCAAACAGTGCCCAGGCCACAGGAAGGAAAAGAAACGGTGACATAGCTCTCCTGTGTCTCCTGCCTGGGGAGAGTGGCCTGGGTGGAGTCCCTAAAGGGTGCTCTCGCTCTGATAGCTTTGAGTCTCTGACGCTTTGTCGTGCTTTAGCCCCAGCCAGCAACTAAGCACCTTGCAGCCGCTCGCTCACT